TCGATGCGAGCACTTGTATCTGGCAGTGAATCAGCTTAGGAGCTTCCCTTATCTGTTGTAAACGTCCCATGGCAGCGGTACTAATAATTCTCAATTTGAAAACGTATTTACAATTAGAAATCTAGAATTAATCATTTCAACCGTACTGGACATCGTCCCGCGGCGTTCTCCCGCGACGAGAGCCCGGTTAACGCGACAATGCAGCAGGCAACTCTTGTAATAAAATCAAAATTTAAAAAAATTGCAAAGTTTCTAATATATATATTAAACAAACTGAACATCGAGATAATATTTATACCCATTTAACACGTTCGCTTACCAGTACGTACTTTGCGTTCCATCGACAACAGTTCCGAGAGTTACAATACTCTTTAAAATCGAATCGCGAACAAACGTCTAGCCAAACAAACGAGAAAGCTATCGTGCCACAGAGAAACGTTACGAATTCTTCGTGTACGATACACGTTGTACGTTGTACGCGCAAGAGATCGTGGCTTAAATACAAGATTCTGTGACGTTAATGGCGAACGTGTTAATCTGTCGCGAACATCTTTCAGACCTCGCCCTCTCGCGCATCGCCATCGAATCGCGAACTCGTCGCAGAGGCTGTGAAAATATATTTTCGATTCGCGACGCGTTTGTTTGTAGCCGCGACGTTTCAACGTTTTCACGGAACCAACGACAAGCATCGGAAAGGGCGGTTTCGAGCGCCACGCGACGACGTCGCGCCAATCGTTCGATTTGCATCCCGTCGACACGGAATGCATCCCTAGATCATATAACCTGGATCACGTTTAAATGATCGAGTCGACGAAAAAGGAAAACAAAAAAGAAAAAACAAATGAACTTTCCTTCGATAAGAAACTAAAGAACGCAGAGTATTTTGAGACGGCGGAGACCGGCGTTAAAACCGTGCCGCCTGCCGCTCGAAGGATCGAGGACCCCCGTGACTCGCATCGAACGAGGAAAACAATCGAAATGTCGGGCCCCGCGGGGCCCGGACACCGAATAGAAAACTCGCTGTGAACGATCGTTACAATTGTTGTTCGGCCGGTGAAAGGAAGTAAAGGGTATCGCAAGCTCGTCGTGTCCTTACAAAGCTAAAACGGGAGGCGGAGACACGGCGCCGCATGATCGGGGAGCGAGAAATCGGATTTTCCATTTTCCAGCAACTTTGGTGGCAGGTCCGACGTTCGCGGAATCGTTCTTCGATAGAAACAAATTCGAGAAATCTAGAAAAGGCGAATCGAAATATATAGAACTAAAAACGTTGAATCGTCGAGGATTTACGTGCGCCGATCGAAACGGCGATCCTTAAGAACCAAAGCAAAAAGTATCAAATAAACCGTCCATTGTTACAATCATAAAGCAGATGTAAACAGAGACCGGAAGGCCTTCCACCAAAGTTCATCGAATGTCGTTAATGCATGCAGAGCGGCACGAGTCATAAAAAGGCGTCACGCCGCGTCCAATTCGGTTGGACGTTCCCGCGAACGTCTTCAAACGTCATTGTCCGGGGTTTAAGAAACATAGTTAAACGTCGCCGCATTTGGTCCAACCTTGCCAGGTGTCATAAAATTCCAATTAACAGAACGTCAAACGCGATGTAACCATCGTCGAGTGTTTAACGAACATAATCTGATCGCGATTCTACACTACGAATGCCGGATGTTCTTTATGAAAGCTTTCTTTTCTCACGAAAAGAAAAACGTTCTCACGGAACGTCGCCGATTCTGTTCGACAAATATCAAAGTTTCGCGTCCGAGCGCGTGCTGCCCTGTGTCTCCCGTGCCCCCGCTTTTTCAAGGTACATAATATACAGTGTAAAATAGGTGCGTGCACACAGAACGCGTTTACAGTACGCATGCACTAGTAGTAGTACAAGTAAGAAAATGGTCAGCCGTGCGTACCGCGGCCGCGATTGATTTCCGTTTATATTACTCGATCTCTACGTTGTACTAGGATTTGGTTATTGAAGAGTATGTTTACTAACTATTTTCGCTCTTTTTTTGTGGCACTGGGCTGTCCGCCCATTTGTTACTCGGAATGCGAAATACGAGTCGCGGGCGCGGGGACCGCGCTCCTCCTGGACGATCTTTCGGCCGCGGCGCGAAAGACGAGGAGGATCGCGGCCTCCCCCGAACTCCGTCCTATCTTTCTCCGTTACCCTATCGATTCTTCTTTAAGTACTAACAGTTAATATTCTCGTCTTTCCTCGTTTATTCTTCTCTCTCTCTCTCATTTTCTTTTTTTTGGATGATCGTACACCTAGATCTTTTCTAGACGCCAGCCCACGGCCGAGCCTGGATCACCGTCGCTCGATCCTCTTTCGGTTATGCTACGCGCGACAACTGAAGCTGATTTCAGTCTTACATTTTTTCTTTTTCCATGGTCGAAGTAGTCGAAGTACACGTTTCTCTCTCTCTCTCTCTCTCTCTCTCTCTCTCTCTCTCTCTCTATCTATCTATCTATCTATCTATCTCTCCCTCTCTCTCTCTCTCTCTCTCTCTCTCTCTCTCTCTACTGTTACGATTATTTAGCGGCTTAAGTATGAAACGCACGGATCATTAAGAAACGGTTATAGCGATCTATACAGCGTGCAATGACGGTGGTCCAGGCTCGATTGTATTCGGTGCCGAGTGTCCGGCGCGTTTACAATCCTTTTTGGTGTGCCTACTACGACTTGACTCTCGCGCGAGAACCTCTTACTGCTTGCGACCGTCGAAGCTCCGAACCTCTGGGGCATCGAATCTGTTCACCTCAACACCTGGTTTTCTTCGTTTCGAAGAAAAGGGGGGGAGGGTCGTCTCTCAATAAACAAACGCGAAGATAGAAAGGTTATTATCAACATTATTTGATAGTAGTTAATACGATAATAACTTCCGCAAGTTATTATCAAATACAATTGAACTTTTGTATCGTCGCGTCGGCGATCCGAGATTGCCTTTGGAGAGAGAGGTCCCGTGTGTTGAGGAGCTTCGTAAAACCGGTTCAAGAACAGATACGTCGCACCGAAATGGCTGGATTCGCTCGCGATCGAGCTCCTCCGTCTACTTTCTCACTTCCTCCATACACGTTTCTAACGCTCCTGCCGTGTTACAATGTCGCAATATCTTACATGGACTACGCGACGACTCTTCATCGCACGCCTCGTATAGCTTACCTACATATATATATATACAGTCGCGATTTTTAGGCGAAGGCAGACCGCGTGGATGGCCGACTTTGAGGACTGATTATGAAATTGGTCAACGCTGTGATTTATAAAGGGGTGGTCAAGGTTCCCGAGTGGCTCCGTGAAACTAGTTCCGGCCTTGGTCTAACCTAGATCTTTCTATGGCTGAAATTTTTATCTAGCTTAACTCTTTGTCCAGCTTGGATATTGGTCTAGCTTAGATCTTGGTCTAACTTAGATCTTGGTCTAACTTAGATCTCGGTCTAACTTAGATCTCGGTCTAACTTAGATCTCGGTTTAATTTAGATCTCGGTTTAGCTTAGATCTTGGTATAGCTTAGATCTTGGTCTATCTTAGATCTTGGTCTATCTTAGATCTTGGTCTATCTTAGATCTTGCTCTAGCTTAGATCTTGGTCTAGCTTAGATTTTGGTCTATCTTAGATCTTGCTCTAGCTTAGATCTCGGTTTAGCTTAGATCTCGGTCTAGCTTAGATCTCGATTTAGCTTAGATCTCGGTTTAGCTTAGATCTCGGTTTAGCTTAGATCTCGGTTTAGCTTAGATCTCGGTTTAGCTTAGATCTCGGTCTAGCTTAGATCTTAACTAGCCCAGGCTTGAATAGTAGCCCATATCTTAGACTGGTCCAGAATTATGGTCGAACCCAACCCGGACAATTAGCCGAAATACAATTTATAGAAGCAGTCGCTGATGCCGATCTTCCAAGCACTCGCCTGGCCCGTTTATACACGCGCGAGTACACGCACACATACAGTATCTCACACAAACAGACCGACACACATGTACACGTCACGATTAGGGGGTACGGGACAGCCGCGGCCGACCTTAGGAACCGACTGGAATAAGCGATGGGCCGCGACGTCGTCCCGCAAAAAAAACCATTTGGATAAACAATTAGCGTTGATACAAAAAGTGGGACTATAGTTTTCTATCGTTTAGCAACGCCTTACGCTCACGAAATCTTCGCACAACCTCGCGGTTACATACTCTTTACGGTTTCCTCTCTCACTCTCTCCCACACATATCCCGTGCATATATGTATATGTATACATAGGTGTGTGTATATATAATAATATATATATTCATTTTCCTCATATGTATACTTATGTACAAAACACTAAAGTGACTCGACATGACTATTTGCATTTTTTCTCGTTTTTTTTCTATCCGCAATTTTCTCTCGCACTCCCCTCATTCTCGCCATCACTCCACTATTTCACTCTTTTCGCAGGGGGCCGCACAGAGACTGTGCCCCCTTTGATTTCGTTCCCCCCTCGTTCAGGGACAGGAAACGTCCCCGTTTTTCTCTCTCGTCGTTTCGCGATCGCGGTAGGCGTAGTAGTTTTTTCGTTAGTCGACTGTCTAAAAATTAAGTGTATAATTCTATTACGTAAATGCGTAAAGCGTATTGCATTGCCTTCCCCCAACAGCTCCGCGTTCGTTCGACTCCTACCGGTTTCTCCTCTCCGCCGCCACTGCTCTATTTCGCCGCCACTGCTCTATTCGCCGCCGCCGCCGCCGCCGAAGGCCAACCTCGATTTCCGCCATCTCGGAGACACTGAATTTTTATCATTGTTTCAGCTGTTTTTCATCGCTCCTCGGTTTTCTATCTTCTGTCTTTGTAAGCTCAACTGGCTTGGCAAATTCCACGTAACTTCTTTTATTTTCAAGAACATTTCGATGGCCTTCGCCAACTTTAAGACACAGAGTTAATTAAATGCAGGATGCTATTTAAATCTGTTTTGTTACGAACTGCATTCTTCGTGTAAACAAAAGTGTTCACAGTGTTCTAATTTATTTCATGTTTAGTGAACTGAAATTCATAATCTTTGAAATGTTTAGCAAACATTTAGTGTACTTTAGTACTCTTTTAGTACTCTTTTAGTACTCTTCTCCAACATCAGATAACAGGAGTTACATAGAAATTTGGATGTTTCTTCCGTTTCAATGTTATCCATTCATTTTTGTCATAACTGCATCCGCAATATATTTCCAAATGAAATAAGGACTCGTATGAAAGAAGCTCACTTTAGTCAAATTTTAATCGAGGTATAAACAATTCGGTCATTCTTTGGACACAGAAAAAAAGACCAGACTCAACAAGACAGGCCGCTAAAATTTCATTTCTACCGAATACAGTCTTGCTAGTCGTTTAGAAAATAGAATCTCAGCGACTCTACCTCGCCAACTGAGGACCAGAGACACGTTTGTAAACAACTTGTTCCGTGTTTGCTTCCGACCGATTTCTTTCCGATCGACCAACCCTGCCGAAAACTCGTTGGAAGGACGACGGAAATAATCGTCGTCAGCGTGAAAGTCCGAATACATCATCCCGAGTGTCGTAACATTGCTGACAGGCGGCAATTACGCTCTGACATTATCGTCGTTCGTCCAATTTTCTCCGTTTCTTCCAGGAAGGATTACACCTCCTCTTGCTTCGAATTTATCAGTTTCTTCCTCGATCGAGAGGTTCGATCGAAATCGCGGTTGACATTCAGCGTCTTCGATCGTTGGAGATCGATCGGCCGCGTCGAATGAGCAAAATTATATTAAAAAAAAGAAAGAAGGAGAAGTCCCCGTACGTCGTGATCCGTGACGGATTCGAGATATACTTTTCGACAAGCGGTGGTGATTCTCGTCTATCCACGAGCTCTCTCGAGTGTACATCTAAATAACAACGAGATCCGCTCGGACCGCTTGGTGTCGATTTTTCTGCGACGAAAAGATATCGATCCGACGGGACCATGATCGATACGGGACGTTGCGAACACGCACCACCTCCCGTCGCACTCTCGAGTAAAACTAATCTACCGAACACAGCTCTCTATCATTCTCTCGACTAAAACCTCGCGCCTACGATCGTCTGCAGACCTTCGGATTTGAAAAACAAAAGAAATAATAATAATAAACAAAAAAAGATAAACGTAACACGCGGGAACGTGGTTTCTGGCGAACTGTTCTCGATCCACGAACCCCTCACGGTGGATCTTCGATCACGGAACTAAAAAATATTGACGGTTTCCTCTTCATCTTCTTCTTCATCTTCATCTTCTTCTTCTTCCCACTTCAGGAAACAAAAAACGGTGGATGCGTGTGTGCGATTGATTTTGGATCGAGCTCTCTCTTTCTCTCTCTCTTTTCCACTCGTGCTTCAGGAGTCTGCGCGCGTTTCGTTTCGCTCGAGATCAACATGCTGTTCGTCTTCCTCCTCCTTCTCCTCATCATCATCGTTTAGCTTCCTTCTCTTGGTGGCCGTGGGTCCAAGATCAGCCTCGTCGTCGCTGCTGGCTAAACGTTCGGCCTCGGCCTCTAGGCTCAGCAGAGAGTCACCCTGGCCAGAGTTTCCCTCAGCGGCGTCTCTCAAAAATGGACGTCCCTCACGTCGGTCGGCGTGCCCGCCTTCTCGTGTTCCAGGATCTTGTCCTGGCTGATCATCTCGTCCCCCACAGGCGGCGGCCTCTGCTGCACCGTCACCGTACTCGCGGTCACCACCTGATGAGTGTTGCTGTTTTCCGCCTCCACGTGCGCCTGCGACACCATCTCCTCGATTTGCTCCAAACAGCCTTGGAGATAGTCCTGCAATTTGGAAAACGGCGATCGTTAGGTTCATCATTTTCGAACTCGATTCTTATTATAAGGAAACAAAGTAGGATCCAAGCATCGATGCAAAACCGAAGGGTTCATTCTCTCTTTCTTTTTTTTTAGGAGCTTTATATTGGAAGTATAGTGTTCGTAGTATAGTGTTCAAGCAACAGATTGATATGGACCATCTATTACTCTCTTTTGTTTTCAAACTATTATAGAGGAAATGTTTGGGTCTATTTGGATAGGCGTGAGTAGCAGATGTTAAGGATTAGAGGATCCTCTCTCTCCCTCTCTCTCTGATTTTAGGCGATCTCTGATTTTAGGCGATCTCCAATTTTAAGCGATCTCTGATTTTAGGCGATCTCCGATTTTAGGCGATCTCCGATTTTAGGCGATCTCTGATTTTAGGCGATCTCCGATTTTAGGCGATCTCCGATTTTAGGCGATCTCTGATCTTAGGCGATCTCTGATCTTAGGCGATCTCCAATTTTAGGCGAGTTCCGACGATCTGTTTTCGATTGGCGAGCAAGAAAGTATCGGTCAGAATTATTATTAAACATTTAACCCTCTAACCAGCTAACTAACGAGTATATTCGTCGTGAAGAGATAACACTTTATTGTATCAGATGAAGAGATAACACCTTCCTCTTCCAATTACAATTTTACTGAAACATGTTGAATGACTGCAAACATTCTGAAACAATGTTTCAGAATGTTTGCAGGCCAAACTCTGTCTGCGGCCAATGAAGTATGAGCAACATTGTTCTGCACAGTTGCTTGTCGCTTGTTAGACGATATAACTCATGTGTCCAAGCATCATCTCATGAAAGCGAGAATCAGATAAAAATGACTACCATCGATAAAGAAATCTGTTACAATTGCAACGAAATGAATCGCAAGAAGCACCATTAATTTCCGACGATGTGTTTTCTTGCACTTGACACACTTGCGGACGCCATAAATGCGCGAAGGTGCTTCGACAAGGTAACAATGCTCACGGTCAGGTTACGAAAGGGCGCACACGAGAAGCAGGAGAAACGAGCGGACGCTGGGTGGATCGATTTTCTGGCAAACCGAATGGCCGTGAAAGCGCAAAGGGCACGGGACGAGCAGCCGACGAAAGTCATCGAATGTCTTCTTGCCATTGAAGAGGAGAGCTCGTAGTAACAGACGCGAAGAGGGATCATTCGCGAATCCAGTCAAGACGTCGCGCAAAAAGTCCCGATGAGAAGCCGTAGCAGGTGTCGGGCACATGTTTACGGGAGAGAAAGAGAGGGCATCGGAGAGGAAAAAAGGAGCCTGAGCGGGCGGAGAGAGAGAGAGAGAGAGAGAGAGAGAGAAAGAAAAAGAGAGAAAGAGAAAGAGAGAGAAAGAGAGAGAAAGAGAGAAAAAGAGAGAAAAAGAGAGGAAGAGAGAGGAAGAGAGAGGAAGAGAGAGCAGAGAGAGCAGAGAGAGCAGAGAGCAGAGAGCAGACTATACAGACTATACATTCATAATGCGGCGAACGCGAATAAAGTGCGCGCGAGACGCGTGAATGGCTCGGCATGGGGTCCACGGCCTGCCGAGCGCAATATTTTGCGCCAGCCGCATGTATTTAGAAGCAGGAAGCTCTTCCTCGGAACTCTGTCTGGCCACCTGCATTCTCATTCATGATCCCGGGCCGTCGACGCTTCCTAAGAACCGACCGACAATCGACTCGTGGGAAACGTAATCGATCTCGAGGTCGGAGGTCGACTACCAATTTCTGCACAATGAACGCCAACTTTTTGTCAACGGCACACGACCGAATAGAGGCGACCGAAAATGTTTATCGTCGTGCAGAGAACTGTTTACAGCGAATTCTCCCTAATTGATCCTCAGCTTTTGTACAAAAAAGAAATAGACAATTAGGGAAGAGGAGATGCGATTATTGGAGCCTCGCGGCTCGTTTTTATAGTTACCGATCGTCAGCGACCATAAAAATAGAATAATCGTCCCACCTCTTCGCAAATTGTCCATTTCTTTCCAAGCTGAGAGGTTCAATTAGGGAGAATTTACTAATAATTACCAAATTATTAAATCGCCAACTGGCTATAATGGAGCATGTCGGAGTTCCAACGCGTATCTCGACTGATCGGATAGTTACAGAGAAGATCTAGTTCGCATGATTGTATTTTTAAAGATGCTTTATGAAAACGTATACGAAGATTCTGAGAGAAACGTGGCGCATTGCAACCCCGTTCAGACGTGCGTTCAGGATTTTTTATGGTTTTTAGATTGTAAGATGTAGTTGTGAAAACGTAGACAATGTTAAAACCTTCAACAACGTGTAGATTCTATATTGTTGATTAAGTGCGACGTCGTTTGCGTCTTTATTTGGACAGCTTCTCGTGTTGTTCGAGAGACGATGATTTTATCCAAGGATTGAAAGATTACAGGTTCAGGTAACCCTGGGCTTATGCGTGAAGTGGCAGAAGTGAATAATTGGAATACAAGGTAGCATTACCATGAGAAACGTTCAATTTCTCTGCAACTTAATTTTATGTATTCGTGACAAAAGTGAATGATGGTAGCAGAAAATAATAAAAGCATGAGAGGGATGAAGCTATTTAAATTCTTGTTGCAATGCTTGTATGGCATAAAGGTCCATAGTTCGTCTACAATAATATTACGAGGAATTCTCTCTTCTTTCAGATCTTGTATCAATATCGTTTTTTCCAAATGCAAATCGCTATGTCGTTGTACTAACTCGACTAGGAGACTTAAGAATGTGTTAACACTGAATGTACTAATATTGAATACATTAATATTGGATGCATTAATATTGAATGCATGAATATTGAATGCATTAATATTGAATGCATTAATATTGAATGCATTAATATTGAATGCATTGATATTGAATGCATTAATATTGAATGCATGAATATTGAATGCATGAATATTGAATGCATGAATATTGAATGCATCAACATGGAATGCATCAACATGGAATGCATCAACATGGAATGCATCAACATCGAATGCATCAACATCGAATGCATTAACATTCAATGTGCTAACCACTCGATCCAAACATCACACATAAATACGAATCACTAAAACGAACCATTGCAATAAATAATTACTGATACGATTTAAAATTTTCCAGTTGCGTGCCATGAATATTTCAATAATTTTTTAATAGCCAATATTAAAATATTGCCGTCGTAGAAAAACGAAGATCAACATTCCTCCATCATAGCCATAATACTCGATCCACGGTGAAGCCGCAATCCGCGCTGAAACCTGCTTACGTAAACCGGGTGCGAATCAGGGTACGATTAAACCTATTCCTTGACACTGGCAGTTTATTCTAGGCTTTTTTCTGGTAATAATATCAAGAGGACAAACCTGTTCGATAGCTGTGATGCGAGTAAGCTCCACCAGGAGGGCGGCCAGTCCGAAACCGCTCTTCCCAGTCCAATCGAGACCATGAAGAGCAGCCGCAACGCTCGCAGCCGCGATCATGCTCGGTGTGTACATCGAGAATTTGTATTCTGTAAACAAAAAGTTACGAACATTGGTTAAAACATATCCTTGTCGCACGAATGGAAATACGCTCGGTCATCCTAAAATTGTTATTTTATTCATATTATTATGTTATTTTATTCACAGGTCTAAAGACTATGACAATCGTTTCTAACACTAAACGTGGCATATCGAATCGTACGATCGGTTTCCAATTTCCTATTTCGTGATTTTTGAAATTACGAAGATGCTTCTATGGAAAATGATCGATCAAGTTTCTTTATTTGTATATGTATTATGATAAAAATTACACGAAGTCTAAATGTGTTTCGGTATATTTACTTGTCAATTAGAAATTTTGAGATATTACTACGTGATACCAGAGTGAATTCGTATTTTTTTTAAATTGTAAATTCCTTGTCGTTTTATATCCTAAAATCGTTTTTCATTTCTTTTAAACCCATATAAAACTATCGGACCATAAAGGGTTGAACAAATTCGATCGAGTATCGCTGTAATTAACTGTTTTTGTTGAAATTTTAGCCTCGAACAAAAATTAATCTATAGTTTACTTAGTACTAAGATACTAAGATATCGGTTTACATTTTCGCCGGTTCCGTCAGCGGGCAACGACGGTGATGTAAACTGTATATAGTAAATACCGCGATACATCATCACCGGTACCATTAGATATACATCGTGCCCTGACTGTTTGGGGGTCCCAGTGTCACGTATACAATGTGAAACGCGACAAATAAAACGTCTCTGATTGGTGGATAAGACGAACCCAAAAACGGTATAAAAGAAGCGTTTTTTCTTACCAGACTCTCGGTAGAGTTTGGTCGCTCGATCGTTTTCGCCCATATACCTTCTCTCAATAAAGGAATAAAATAAAGTCCTTTTAACACGTTCCGTGCCACGTGTACCATCGATGGTACACGCTTGCATGTTTACTTAGTGAACTGAACAAATTGTTTACAAGAAATTTAGAACCGAAGAATCAATTTCCACCGCAAGAATGGGCGTTGATAAGTTTTTGTTACGTTGTTATGTGTACGAGAATTAATAATTGCACGTAATACATCAAGTTTTAGTAAAATATCAAAGTGTGAAGATTCGAGTAAAAAAAGCTCGGCACGGAACGTGTTAAGCAAAGAATTAGAATCATATTCATTTTCATTCCATAATCCCAATAGTTTTCATAGAGACACGCAATCAGATCCAAAGCAAGATTTGTGCTCAATTTTTACCGTTCAGAAAACTTTTCTTCTTCGTGTTAGATAGTGATTAGGCTACTCTCTACGTTTTTCAGTATTTCTGATTTCTTCCGATTGAAAGCTCCAACCAAAAACTTTGAAAGAATCCACTGGGACATTTCTCTAGGTAAATACAACATGGCAGATATTTTTTCTCCGAACTTTTTCACACGAGCCAACCGAGGAAAGCGTATTGGAAACGGTTAATCCGGTTTTCCCTGTTCCAACCCCTGAAAGGGTTGGAAGCGCCAGCTCGAAAGCTTGGTACAAAATGTCCCCGCGAGAGATGCCAGCAATAGTAAAACGTGTTTCCTTCTATCGTAAACAGATGATGAATAGATTCGTCGGACAATGAGTCGTTTTAACACGTTGACGACCAACGCAGTCTCGCCGCAATGTTCTTCGCCCTTTGTGCGAAGTTACGATGCGATTGAAATTGCGTTTGCATTTCGAAGTAGCCATATTGTACCAGTAAAGTGCAATTTTTAGAAACCGGACTGGAGCTGACAAATCTGCTTGCGCCGTCGGGGTGTACACTCTTTGCGCGCGAGGCTATTGAACACGTGTATAACAATTGGAGGAACATTTATCAACGGGTGTCACTATGCAGAAATTTGCCGGTTTAGTACGAACTATCCTTTTTTCTTATTTTTTGCAAAATTGGCAAAATTTGCGAATTTTTGGAGAGTATTTAACCTTCTTGGATTGAATTTTGTGGCAAGAATATCTGCATAATTCAAATTTGATATGTTCTTTGCGCGACCTCTAAGTTTCACAGTGCAGCAGTCGATTATTGTGGAAATGTACAACAAAATAAAATTGTCTAATTAAAATCGCCTAGATTTCATAATAGAAAAGCCTAATTTTCTGATGAATTTGTGCAGCAAGAAAGATATTTTTAATAATAAAATATTCTGTTCGTCCAAAATCAAAAACACAAAATTTATTTTCAAGTTAAGAACTATGAGAAGTATTCTATTCTATGCTGTATGCTATTAAAATGCAAATTATTTCATCTTTTATAGTTTAGATTATCAAAATGAAATATTTATTGTCATGCTTTCGCTTTAGAGATTACCAAAATAAACTATTTTATCTTACGTTTTACATTATCGGAATAAAATATTGATTTCATGCTTCATCTAAGGATTGCCAAAGTATAAAATATTTTGTTTATTGAAACTTCACGTTCAATTTGAAATACTATTTCATTTGAATCGCGTCGAATCTATTATTTAAAACAGCATTTCAAACATTTTCTCTATCAATATTACCGAGCTCTGTCCGAGTGCAAAGGGTTAATAGACTACAGTTGCTTCTCCATTCCTTTCTACGACCCCCAAGAACGAGCCTATCGGTACCAATTAATTAGCCACTGAAGGCCACGGTATTCCGAAGTTCCTGTACAAACGCCTTCAAGATCCTCTCGGACGGGTTCATAGGAAACGTGATGTTCCAAGGTGGTTATTCAGGAATCCGCTAATAGAAACTCGCAGGTAGATTCCGAAAAGGGTCCCAGGTCGCAGGGACGAGATTTACGATGCTGAAAACTCGCGGATATCGGAGGGGCCGAGCGGGCCCAGAAGTCCAAAGGTTACCGACGGCGAGCGTTTCCCTTTTTATTACAAGTTCGAGCGTGAAAGCTTTTGTCACCTTGGCCGGCTCCCCGTGAAACCGTGGCTCCAGCAATTAGGCCAGGCCTCCGAGGACTTGTCTTAGAGCCACTTTAACGGTTCCAGCCTGAAAACTGCGAACCCGGACTTTCTAACGCCTTTGTGCTGGCTAGTTGAATTCTACACTCCTGCTGAATCGTCTAAGACAGAGTTGGGTGACCGGATTTTAGCAGATGGCCTGATTTTTGGGGGCTAGATTGAAAATGGCCTAGGCTTGGGAAAATGGCTTTCGAAAATGGTGATTAACAGCAGCAGATTTATGACTCAATTTTGTTGCGATTGTGGTAAGCAAGATGTGGAACTCTCTGTTTGGAATGAGACAATTTCTTTTAGGGTTGTAATTTGATTATTATCAGACTGTGGATCTTTATGCGTTTAATAGCATATTCAGATTTATGAAATGCAAGAGGGTGTATAATGTAATTTTCTTGTTACCAGAGTAATCAGTTAGTTAACAAAAGGAATTTTTTTTATAATTGTTTTCCAGAAAATGACGCGTGAAATTGGGAATTTGCGCAAAGATTCGCGGTCTAATTATTATGTTTTTTCTTGTTGCGATAATCACAGAAGAGGAGAATAGTTATTAACCCTTACACGTCTTAGAGAAGTAACAATTTTTCATGTACCTAGAAAAGAAAATAGTTGAATTTCTAATCGATAAGAGATAAATTTGTACATAATTTTTTTAGTTAGCGGCATTTGCTATGATCAAGACGCTCCGCGTAATATTAACGACTTGTCGTTTAATACAGCTAAATGTTGAAAGTTCCAAAAGAAAGATTGTATCGAAGGCATCGAACCATTTTGTCGTAGAACCTGTTAGATTCTAGATTTCGGAAGATTCGTTTCATGGGGCGCAGAATTCGCAGAAACGTTTCTTTGAAACGGGAAGGGAAACGGGAAGGGATAAGTTGCCGGTAATGTTGAAAAGACTATATCGGAAGGGAGCAAAAAGTTGTAGTAAAACGTGGGGAAAAGAAGAAGAGGAATCAAAAGAGCCGAAGAAAAATGGAGTACGAGAAGAGGTGACTCGAAAAAAGCCGGGCGAGAGCAAAGCAGCAAAGAGTAAGGCGAGCCAAAAGAGAGAGAGAGAGAGAGAGAGAGAGAGAGAGAGAGAGAGAGAGAGAGAGAGAGGAAGTCCAAGAAATGTTGAAAAGAGAAGGACATTAAGATAGATTAATGAAAAATTGAATGTAAAGGCTCTAGAGTGGGTGAAGAAGGAACAAAATCTTGAGACGAGGGGATCGAGAAAATGTCGCGCGGAGAAAACTCTTCGGCAAAAAGATCAAAAGATCGTTCACAAAAAATTTAATTCCGATAAATTTATTTAATGAAATATTTTAATTTATTTTATATATTATATTATATTATAATTATATTATATTATAATTATATTATATTATAATTATATTATATATTATATTATTTATTTATTTTATACGCCTCTAATACATGGGCAGTTATAAAATAGGGAATTCTAACTAAAAACTAGACCGCGGATTTTTATCAAAATTATCTGCATCAATTGCAAAAAATCAATAATAACCTCCCCTTCCCAAATTGTCCATTTTTGTGCACAACCTGAGCGCGAATTGGATAAAATTCACCGTAACTTCATCGATCGATTTTAATTAAATCGACGACTTTCCCGACGATCAATATTTTCAATCGTTTCCATCGATCATCCAATCGAATTAAGCATTTCGGTCAACCGATGCCCAACACTGATAAACAACAGTAGCCGAACGGAATAATGCAGAGACAGAGGTTAAACGTCTAATTGGTACATTCTTCTTCCGGCTGGCGATCGATCATTTACGCGAGCTGTTAATGGAAAGCTCGTCGGCTCGTCGGCCGAGACGAGTCGCGATCGAAAAAATCGCGGCGGCAGTAGTCGGCCGGCGAATAATCTCTCGGAACGGTGATCGATCGATCGATGGGGGTGGTCCGTGCTGGTGGATATCTCTTTGTCCGACAATAATTCCCGGTGGTTGAAGCGCAGGTGCGCTGCTCTCGCTGATCGCGTCGCGTCGCGTCCGGGGCAAACTCTCTCTCTGCAAATTTAAGAGCGGCTTCGTGGAATTCCGCTCTTAATGGCTT